CTACTTCCCAGGGAGATCCATGTTTCCATCTAGTCTGTTCCTCTATGTCTAACCTCTCTTAACCTACATATTATACATTGGCTATCATTTATTTAATGGCTTATACCCAGATATAAACTACTATGTACCATGTTTATCTTTCTTGGTCTAGAATTTTCACATAGGATGGTTTTTTTTCTAGTTCTATTCATTAGCCTGCAAATTTTGTGATACCATTTTTAAAAAGACCTTAGTAATACTCCATTGCATAAATGTACAATATTTCTTTTATCCATGCTTCCGTTGAGGGACATCTAGGTTATGTCCAATTTCTGGCTTTTGTGAATAGAGTCTATACAAACATGCTTGAGCAAGTGTACCTGTTGAAGGAAAAGTGTCCTTTGGGTATACATGTTGAATATTTTCATAATTAAAGATCAATGGGAAGAGCCCAGTCCACTGTGGGCAGTGTAATCCCTGGGCTGGTGGTCCTGAGTTCTATTAAAAAAAAAAAAGCAGACTAAATAAGCCATAAGGAGCAGGCTAGTGAGCATCACTCACCCACTGCCTCTGTATCAGCTCATGCCTCCAGATACCTGTCCTGATGAAGCTACTATCCTGACATCCTTACAAAAGTATAAGTGAAAGAAATTCTTTGCTTCCTAACTCGCCTTTTGGTTATAGTATTTGTTACAGCAATAGAAACCCTAACTTAGACAATAGTTGACAGAAATATATAAGAATTTAAGAAATGGATAAAGACTTGAGAAATAGCTACTTCCATTTTGATATGGTTTTCCCATCAGTTTTCATGGAGTAAAACTGTAGTGATCTATATTGTCATTTTAACCCTAATAATTTCCAGAAAATAAGTTAAACAATAAATATGTATCTATATTTTTTTTGGTCACAGAAACAAAAATAATCACACTCTCTGAGTTGGGAGTCACAGAGCCCTCAGCTTGAATTCTAAACATTACTCCCTCCCGTCTCCTAGCAGGACATGGATGTGGGGATGGTGTATAACCATTCAGGAGGTGGAAAGTCATGTGAAGGCAGGACTTCAGTGAAATGGCAATGAAACTGCTTTACTGATTTTACAACCAATCTGAAGTATGATCTCTCAGAGGTGTGCCTGTCTGGACTTAAAAATGCTCTTGCAAATAGCACTTCACACAACTTCAAGTTACTTAAACACTGCATTATTTTTACAAGATTGGTGTGGACTTTTTGGTGTTACTTTCCCCTTATATAGGGCGAGTGTATATTGGCTTGTGCTTAACCTGGAGAAGTACAGATAATTGTAATAGAAACAGTCTTTATAATATTTTATAGAAAATAGCAGTATGCATTGTTAGATTAGTTGGTAATTTTGTAAGGTAAGTCTTCCTACCCTGAAGACATTTAACAATATAGAAATATATTTTACATTGTCTCAATTCATCTGTGGTTGAAGGGGGAACTATTACTTCTGTCTTTGTAGTGAATGCATGGATTTATCTTTTTATGTTATATATACTGGACATATCTAAAGCCAGCAATGAAGCACTGAAAAAAACGTCGGCTCCTGAGTCATTAGACTAAAATGGGTGCACAAATTACAGGTCAAAATAAGAAAGACTGAAGAAAGCAAAAGGTACGTTCTGATTTCATGACATCTTCTAGAAGTTACTTGACTCAAATCAGTTCAACCAAAGGCTCACTTCTGGAGAACTATAGAGACATAGATAGTGTACATGCTGGTTGGAATAAATTGCTTCTCCATGGTTTTGGGCATTTGAAACAGTTGGTCTCCAGTAAGTTGTGTTGCTTGGGAGGTTCAGCAGGCATGACATTGCTGAAGCAAGTGAGTCATTGAAAGAGTGTCCTTGGGAATTTAAAATACAGTGCCACTTCCAATTTGTTCTCTCTAATTTGTGCTTAAAATTTAAGATATGAGCCCTCTGCTTCCTGTTCCAGCCACCATACATGCTTTTTACTTCCCTGATGGACTCTTATTCCTCTGGAATCATTAGGTCCAACAGACCTTTTACAAGTTTCCTGGGTAATGATGTTTTTTCACAGCAATAGAAAGGTGACTAACTACATAGAGGGCTAATTAAACATGGACTATTACATTCAAGTAAAATAACATTTTCAATACAATACTTGCTAATGTTGCCTTTTGCTTGATAACTGTTTCTAAGAAAATAAATTAGCAACAATCACAAATTTGATTTTAAGACTAGAATACCAAAAGGACTAGTTTCCTTTCACACTTACTTCTTAGAATGTTAAAATCTGCCAAATGATGAAGGGATGGGATGTTTCTAAGTCAGGGTTACACTCTGTAGTCTGGCTGGCCTGGCTATGCAGAACAAGCTGGCCATGAACTCTTTTTCAGTACTCTCAGGACAATATTTACAAGGAATGAGGATATCAGAGAGCTCCATCTTATTCATTACTGATTGGGATAGCTTCCCTCTAGTCCTAATGTCTCTATCACTTTTATAATATACTGTCATGATGGATCTGTAAAGGGCTTTTTCTGTATTCATTGAGATAATTAAATTATTTTAGTCTTTAAGTTCATTTATGGACTGCATAAATCTTGAACAATTTTTGTACATCAGGAATAAAACTGACTTGATTATGTTGCATATTCATTTTATGTATGCTTGTATTCAGTTTGTAACTAATTTACTCAATAGTTTAAAAACTATGTTCAACAGGGATATAAGCTGGTCATTAAATTTTGTTGTATCCTTAACAGTTTTGATGTTAAAAGTATCTTCTTTAAAAAACTGGTAGAATTCTTCTGTAAATCAATGTGGGCTAGAATATTTTTTTTCTTTTAATTTGGAAGGCTATTTAATTCTGTTTTGTCTCCCCATTTGATATTGGTTAATTTAGATTATTGATTTCTTCTTGGTTTAATTCTGGTGGTTTAGCAGATTCTAGGAATTCACTTATTTTAAGTTTTCCAACTTAATAGTAAACACGTTTTTAAAGTATTATAACATCCTTACTTTTGTTGTGTCTGTTGCAATGCTTCCTTGCTTGTTTCTAATTAAATTAATCTGAACCCTCTCCCCCACCCTTGCTTTGGTTAATTAGGAAAATGGTCTGTTGATTTTGTTTATCTTCTCAAAGTATCAGTTGTTAGATTTATTGATTGTATTATTATTATTATTATTATTATTTGCTTCTATTACTTTGGGCTCTATTTCAACATTATGTTTGTCTATTTTGTGTTTACTCATTTTGGGTTGCATCATTAAATTATTTATGTTTGTGTTTTTGATCATTTATTTTTTTTTAATAAATGCGGGTAGAGCTGTAAATTTCCCTTATAGGGATGCTATGTGACCCAGAAGTTTTGTTGTTTTGTGTTTCCATTTTCATTGAATTCTATTCATTTTCTTATGTGACTTATTTCTTGGTTTCTTTACAAGACATTTTTCACACTCTTCATAAGTTTACGTATGTACAAAAGATGTTTTATTTGCTGATTTTAAGTTTTATTGCATTGTAGTCAGGTATGATTTATGGAGTTATTTCAGTATTTCTGAATTTGTTAAGATTTATTTTGTGTCCCAGGATTGTTCTGTTTTAGAGATATTTCCATGTGTTGCTAAGCAGAAATCATATTCTTTGGTGTGTGGATAAATATTCTGCAGATGTTGGTTAAATTCATTTGATGTATGATGTCATTTAATTCTCATGTTTCTCTTCATATTTTTTGTCCAGATGACACATGACCTGTATTTTGAAGAAAGTGGGAATTACAACCATCAACTACTAATGGCTACTGTTAGTCTGTTTCCTTAATTTTAGCAGTACACTGTTATGAAATTTGATGTTATAGAACATGGGGTGTACAATTTTAGAGTAGAAATTCCTCTTGATCAATTTTCTTGATGACAATCAGGTGTTCCTCTTTACCTTTTCTGAAAAATTTTTAGTTTGAAGTCTATTCTGTCAGGTATTAGGGGAGCAACTCCTTTTTCCAGGTCCTGTTTCGTTTGTGTGCTTCTGTCCATCCTTTCATTGTAAGTTCTACATATCTTTATAGCTAAAATGAATTCATGGTAGACAACAGAAATATGCAACTTGTTTCTTGATAATTCAGTCAGTCTGTATCTTATGCATGGATATTTGAGACCTTGAAGTTGTGTTTGATGCATGTGTGTTGATTACAGTCATTTGTGTTTTTGTGGTCTCAGTGGGACTTTGAGCTTTAGTTTCATGTATATTTCCACAATCTCATGATATAGACCTCCTCCTTTTTAGCTGGAAATGTTTCCTGTATTTTATTCAGCTGTACACTTGAGGATATAAAATTTTAGACTATGTATAGCTTGAAACTTTTCATTTTTTAAAAATTACAGATAATTTTGCTAAGCATATCAATCTAGTTTGGCCATAATTGTCTTTTAAATCTTGTAAAGTATTTTTCAGGCTGATATAGCTTTCAAAATTTCCACTAAGCAGGTGTTATTCTGGTGAATTTTTCTTAGTGTGTAGCTTGCCCTTTTTTTTCTCTTGAAGCAGTCAATACTCCATTCTGTTTTAACTGTGATAAACCATGAACACTTTCTTTTCTGTTTTTGTCTATTTGGTATACTGTGTGCTTCTTGAATCTGTGTGGGTATGTCTTCCATTAGTTTGTGTAATTTTCTTTCTATAACTTTATTGAAGACTTGGTATATATCAGTGACCTAGGAATCTTCTTCCTCATCTATTTTTGTAGTCAAAAAACGTATTGATTTTATGTGCATGAGCGCTCTATCTGCATGTACACCTGTATGTCAGAAGTAGGCAGCAGATCCCATTATAATTAGTTGTGAGTCACCATGTGGTTACAGGAAACTGAACTCAGGACCTCTGGAAGAGCAGCCAGTGTTATTAACTGCTGATCTATCTCTTTAGCACTTTATTCTTTTAATTTGAAGTTTCAGTGTTTATTGGTATCCTATATTTTTCTACAGTTCTTTATTACATTCTTTTAAATTTTACATTTTTGTTTAATTATTATATATAAAAATATAAAATGCTTCACACATTTACATATCATCCTTGAGCAGAGATATGCCAATCTTCTCCTAATTGTTTTGATTTTAGTTCATAGCTGCTGAAGCAAGCACAAATTTGTATGTTCTAAGTTTTTTGTTGAGTGATTATTCTTTAAATTCTGTTTCCTAGTGTTCATCCAGGCAATTTTAAAATTGGTGAACCTATCTAAAGAATTTATGGATTTTGGGATTGAAAAACCGTCTTGATCTTTAATATTGATTATTTTTTATGATTTATGGCTATGTGGATTTTTTTGTTAGTTCTGCGTCTGATATGAGTAGAGTGGGTTAACATGGAACATAGGATGTTTGGGCCTCATTGCATGTAAAGATTGGTGGCATTCATGAGATGTATTCTAGTCAAAGGCTAGAGTTTGAGTAAAGATCTAAGGCATTGAGACAGTGCGAGGACAGAGCATGACATGTTTAGACTCTGGCAAAGATTGTTGAAAATGTTTCTGAGCTGAGAAGTTGGCTATAGCATGAGAGGGGACTGCAGGTTGTGGGCAAGTAGGGGTGGTCCAACTAGTCTGTGGACTAGATATAGAATCTAGGCTAGATCTGCAGAATTGTGTGTGTGTGTGTGTGTGTGTGTGTATGTGTGTATGTGTGTGTCAGGTATATGACATAACAAGATGCAATAAGACTTGGCACAAACACTCTTATCATGATTGGACAAAGCTACCTAGTAGTAAGAAAGAGGTTTTAAGAATAGCAAAAAAACATCGCTCTCCAGTCTTAGGAGCCCCACAAAAACACTAAGCTAAACAACCACAATTTGTATGTAGAGGACATAGCACAGATCCGTGTAGCTTCCTTGATTGTTACTTCAGTCTCTGTGAACCTCTATGAGCCCTGTTTAGTTGATTCTGTAGCTATGTTCTCCTGGTGTACTCCACCACTTTGGCTCCTACGATCCTTCTTTCCCCTCTTTCTCGGGGTTCTACATCTCTGCCAAATGTTTGGCTGTGGGTTTCTGCATTTGTTTTTATCAACTGCTGGAGGAAACATCTCTGATAATGATTGGGCTAGGCATCAATCTGTAAGTACAGCAGAATAATTATAGGAATCATTTCACTGGCTTTTTTTGTTTTCTTTTTTCTTTTCCTTCCTTCCTTCCTTCCTTCCTTCCTTCCTTCCTTCCTTTCTTTCTTTCTTTCTTTCTTTCTTTCTTTCTTTCTTTCTTTCTTTCTCTCTTTTTTGTCAGTGGTGTTTGATTCTACCTTAGATCTCTGCCTCATCCTGTTTCTGGTTCCT